CACATTACATTTTTTTTCCTGTATTTTTGATCAAATAAATACAGCCTTGATGAGCATAAGAAACTCCTTTAAAAAAAATTTAAAATTGTTCTGATCCCAAACTTGTGACCAGTAGTGTGTATATATATATTTAGATATACTGTATATATTTAGATAAAATTTAGATTATATATAAATACAAATATTTTATACATAAATATAAAATTTTTCCTAAATATATACTTGCATGTGTGTGTATCATGTAAACACAAACTTTTATTTTGGATGCGATTAATCGTTTGACAGCTATTATCTACCAATAAGACCATGTTTAAATCCAACGCCCAAGATTCCACACATTCGCATAGAAATATAAAAGTATAAACCCCGCGCGATGAGTATTTTAGTGAATTTTTACGGACTGTCTAGCAGTCATATGAGCATGGAAATATTATGTTATGTTAATGTTATTTAGCTACCAAATGAAACCTACCTTTAACACACTTCCCCATATTTAAATACATCCCACAGAATTCCACACATTAGAGCGAAAAGTAAAAATCGAGTGTGGATTACACAATGAACCTCGTGTTGAGTATTTCAGTGAATTTGCTAGGCTCTATCTGACATAAGAGTGTGGAAATATAAGGTGTTACCAAACACTGTAACAAGCTCTATCTTGGAGCCAGCGTTACCACTGAAAGATGAGACGAAATGAAAGTGTTATTTCCGTCAGCGCCTTTAGGCGTGTGGGAGACATTTAAGAGTATGATGTAACGACGACGGCTGTGATGCCATTGAGGAATCTATGGAATCTTCCACAAGAGCCAGAGTAATTTGATTCATGAAACAGGATTTTCAGAGATGAACTGCACTTAACACATAGGGGAGTGTTCGCAGACACACACTCAAAACACATTTCTACCTGTTTCTACTTTGTCGTCACCCCACACTACCCACCTATGTGACTCACACCTGCTATCTCCATGTGTATGTATGTACGTGTGTGTGTGTGTTTGAGCGGAGAAATAGTTCAGTGGGAAATGCGACCCTGGTTCCAAGAATAGCCGTGAGTCTGAAACCCTGGAAACTCTGAGACGAAAATAGCAGCACAGTGCTCCTCTCGTCACCTAGCAACAGGCTCCCCCATGTCCTCTCCAGCCATTTAAAAATATTTCTTCTGTCCTTTTCACGATTACTTTGTTTTCTCTCTCTCCTTCCTTCACCTTTATGCTCCGTCGCCGTCTTCCGAGTTCAAGCTGAGCTGATCTTTATTTAGTCTCTGTCACTATTTTTCAAATTAACTGAAGCTGACTTTGTGTCTAAATCTTTGCACTACCGCTGGTTATGTAATTCTGCTTTGGAGGCGTTTTTATTATTTTTTTTAATATGGCAGTTGCACCGATTGGAAGTTGCGCTGGTGCGTTTTCAACCAAAGCACTTCTGAGAATATTCTGTGCTTAATATAACTCGTTCTTGGCTGCCCTTTTTTTAGGACAAAAAATATCACTGAACCACACAGACTGTGCTTGCTTCCTCTCTCAGCAACCCTGCCTGTCCTTGCACATCATTCCTACTGTAGCTCCTACGTTGTTTTCCCTGCTCCAGGTTCAGGGCCAAATTGTCTCTGAACGGTAACTGTCATATGTCACAAACAACTGACCCCGGATCAGGTAACTTTGCTTACAACTGATCATTCCTCAGGTGCACTTCAACTATTCTTCTGCTAGTGGCATGTTTCTCTCTCCTTTTTCCTTCACTTGACCCACTACCCTTCCTTGTTCCTCTTCCTCCAAATTTCCTCTTGTACAGAAGAACCTTCAAGTTCTTACATATTGTCTTGCTCTGAACCCAGACCTTCACATGCACTCCAAAATTATTTTTCAAATCGTTTTCTTTGACTAAAATACACACAGCTCTGACAGCATTTGAGATATCCTCCCAGCACTTTTCTCTTCACCCCAAATGAACATTAAACAAGTCAACAGCTACTTTTTTATATATCGTCTCAGTTTCCACCATTTTTCTCACTTCTCTCCTTTTCATTCTCTCTGTAGAAGCGGAAGTCGAGCTCTACCATTCAGTACATGGTGAGAATCTTGTTTCATTTACACCCTTCTATTTTCTTTCATCTTCCTCTTCTTGTACCTCCACCTACTGTACTGTTGCTAATGTGCAACACTTTCCTCTAAAGTCTTCCTGCATTTCTGTGGGACATAATGAAATGATGGCCAGTATAAAACATACTCAGACTGGTTCTATTTTTAAAGTCTGGGCCGCATTCCAGACAAAACTGGACCAGTGTAAATGCATCTGGTTTTTGAAATTAGTTACTTTTTTATGGAGTAACGCAATATTGTAATGCATTACTTTTAAAAGTAACTTTCCCCAACACTGTATATGACTGCGCTAATGCAACACGCATCGCCGCGGATGAGTAGCTGAGTATCTCATCAGCAAGCCGACACACAAACTGCCGCGAATTAAACAAAGTAAGGGCCTGTTTACACCTGGTCATTTCATGCATTTTCGCTGATCGGATAGCTATCTGATTTGTTAAAACGTTTCCATTTACACTTGGCCACATAAATGTGTCGTCGCAAAATGGATATAAATCCGATCTTCAATTCAGTTCACGTCAACGAAATCAAAAGATAAGCACTGCGTTTGATTAATTATAAGCTCATTTCAAGATCAAAGACTGCAATAGAAGAGCGCGCGGCATCAGCACTGGAAAAATAAAGATTGTCTTACTACTTTTAATGAAGATGATTGTGTGTTGACCGTCTGCATATTACTTTGTTTCATTCACAGCAGTTTGCGCGTCGGCTTGCTAAAGAGATACTCAGCTACTCGTCCACTGCGATGCGTGTTGCATTAGCGCAGTCATATCTGACTATAATGTCATATAGCCTATAACACGCTCACACGTTTATTATTTTAACATTTTGGGAGGAGTAACATTTACATATGTGGTTTCAACAATCAGATGCATTTACACTTGTCCAGTTTCGTCTGGAATGCGTCCCAGACCACCTCCTGAAGTGGTTTGAGTGATC